TTCCTTTAACATATTTTATGTTTTATCATCCCAAAATTCTGTAAAAAAGATATCAAACTTAACAATAAATACTTAAATGCGTCGAAAGAGCCAATAAGGCATAAATGATATTATTATGATAGGCATTCAAAGTCTCGGAAAGATAATAACCACGAAATTAATACGTGATTCCTTGAACTATTTCATCTCAAAGGTATATTAGAAATTTAAGATTTTTAGGCATGATTGTACTAAGCGGGCAGGGGTATTACTTATCTTGAAAAGTGACATTTTGTTTGTTTTTGTGACATTATATAGACTTTTTGTGACATTATGTAGATTTTTCTACAAGATGTCAACCTAGAACTAGCTGTTGTTCACTTGCTTTGCACTCGTTCTGTAGCTATATGTGTTGCCTGAACATCATGACGCTCCAGCTATCAATGTTTGGGTCTGATATGATGTAAAATCTGCTCCAGAGATGCCATTATTGGAGGTATAAGTTGTATATTATAGCTGGAAGAAAACGGTAGTTCATAGTGATAATTGATGTGCTAATAATCTGTGTTGATGATAATTCCCTTAATATCTTGTCTCAAATAGACTTACTTGAGATGTAAGCTTCATCCTAGAAATTAAATATGCAAATTTTCTGAATTTCAAAAATGAAAGAGATTAACAAAGAAAATAACTGGTTGGTGAAGTCTATTACAACTAACAGGTGAGAAAATAGACTGCATACAGGAATATTTATGAAACGTGAAAATGTTTTTACATTATTTTTTATTTCCAGTCATTTAAATATCAGAAAATACAGATCAGCACCTAGATGTGAAGTACTGTGAAAATGTTTTGTGTGTGATGCGTCATTCCTAAGTTTTCTGTGATGTGGCTTAATTACACATAACGTGATTTCCCGTAATTCTTCTAGAAGTTTTCGAAAGCGCAACATACGGGGGAAATTGTAATTTAAATCATTGAATGTAACCTCTCTTTATAACGGAGAACACAAATAACCCGCCTGGTACAGCTAATAGATATCTTCTCGGGCAGCATATTCAGTAAAAATTGTCTCACATAGCAAATATCACTGATTTTATACACATCCATACTATTACACAGAATGACCATATAATCATACAAATTCGATCGTGCTACTCAGAAAGTTTTCTTTTTGTTTCATCTCAGAGGTATACTCTTCAGACTTTTTCGGCATTCTGCAACCAACAAAGAGCTACCACGGTCAAGGAACCTCGGTAGCTCAGTGGTCAGCGCGTCGAGCTAGCAACCTGGCAGGATTATTACGTAAGAAACATATAGAATGCCAAAAAGAAAAGAATAAAAATCAACTTGTTGACTAGGTAGCTGGTAGCGTGCAAATAGTTCATTTGGCGCCTGCTACAAATGAGAATGAAGGGAACAACAGCTAGTTCCTAGTTGGCATCTTGTAGGGAAACCAGATAATGTTATAAAAAACCTACATAATGTCAAAAAACAAGAGATAATGTCACTTGTGGAGTTAGCTAATACACCGCGAAGCTCGCGGATTCACATCTCCGCCCAGGAAGTTAATTCCTTGCTAGCGATGTTGTGTTGTCTATATCACGCACGTGAATGCAATATTAACAGGTTCTACTTAAATCACACCACTGGAGCTGGTTTACTATATCAGTTACCAGCAGATGGCTCGTGGAGTAGTACAGAGTTGGTACTACGGGGTCGGCAAACAGAGTCAAAGGTGATCTAGATTTCAGGCTTCTCCTCTCCACCTCAACTAAGTACTACAGTAGTAGCAAACGCGGAGTGAACTATTGGCACAGTAGGAACTATCTAGCCAGCAAGTTGATATTTTGTTGGTTATATAGGTTTTTTACATAATAATTCTGCCAGGCACAAAAAAGGGCGTGGGTCACACATTTAACGAATAAGAATGCGTTTTCAAAGTAATGGATCTAAAGAATATGGTCGATTTCCTGTGAAACGTTTCTCAAACTATAGAGAAAAGGAAGTATGTCATAGATCACCGGGTTTAGCAACACAAACTTATTTTTCCATTTGCGTGGGGACACTAAATTAGTAGCCATGACCAGATAATGTACCAATGAAAAATAAGCATTTGCGCCAAACTCGAATCATGGACACAAATCTGATACAATATCTAAATTGATATGATAGCAATTATATTTGTACTTTATTGAAAATAACAGTGTCTCACTGTTGCTGTAAAAAATTCGGCTTGATAAATTTTCGAGGACATAAATCAAATTACTGAATGATTATTATTTAACAGAAGGACAGTAGGACACCTACTTCTAGCCTTGCCACCGTCAAGGCGGCGCAGCGTGGTCGTGTAGTCCTCCTATCGTCCAGTAGAGCGCGCGACATCTGGTTAATAGTCAACAGTAACATGGCTTGCTTAAGAAAGGGTTTTTCACACGGTAGCCAGTAAATTGATTGTTTACTCGATGAAAAAGCATTCTGTAATTTTATTCAAGACTTCAAAGAATTTATTAAGCAGAATTTTGTACAGCAACATGCTCAGTAATGGAGTAATGTCAATCTATTGTGTCATTATTGATTCAGGTTTTGAGTAGGCCACAAATCTTTATTGGTTAATGGAATTCGCGTCAACTGAAAAATAGGAAACGATTAATAAACTGAATTCAAGAAAGATGATAAATATTACACAAAAAGTAAGCAAGCAATGGAATATACATAAATATGTAAATAGTCTGGTTGAAGAAGTAGATTCCTAATATAACTGAAAAGAAGTAGAATATAAGGAGTGGAAAATGAATGACGAATTTGTGTCATAATTTTCACTGTCCATCGAGTAACTGTTTTTTTCAATTTATATTTAAATCTATTGACATTTAATAATTTAAACTCCCCCCACATATCCTGACCCTATACGCCCATGGTTGAGACTATTAGGCATCCCCACCCCCGAACCCTATGCCCCCCCGAACTTAAAAGGATCGTTTACATCCGTTTTTCAAGAACGATGCAGTTTATTTTCATTTTTCTGCTCATGTGTTGGAATAACGTGTTTGAAAGACATCGATAGAGATCTCATTTAAATCGCTTGTATTTGATTTTCATTTCGGACACCATAAGGTGACCATACGTTTTATATCAAAATATCAGCGTCAGGAAACAAAGGTTATGTTCCTCATAGCTGTTTTTATTTTTATCATACAAACATTCTGAGGTGATCGGGGAAAAATCTGAATTCCAGCCATATGTCCAGAGTTTTTGAAGCTTTTGCCCGGCAGTTGGTCATAGTTGCGGAGACGAAAAGCGAACATATAGGTACTGGTCAGCACGCAACATATACATACTTTTTGAAGTTGATATTCCATCGCAATGAAAACTATGGAAAATACCCTATTGCAGAGTACTCCTTCATTTATATAACCTATGAGTATAAGCGATTATGTATATCGATATCTGATAGATATTGACCTTTCAGGAAGTAGTTATAAGGACTGTGTTACCTTGAGTGACACACTAAAATATGACATAATTAATTCAGACCACCAAAAAATACCTCGCATAATTGCATATATTACTTTCATTCTATACACATAACTAAACGTATATCAATCAGTACATTCACAATTATTTTAGATAAAATACTAAAATTCAAATGAAGCATATCCATCTGAACGGATGCTGAGAAAAGCGTGAGTTGTCTATATTTTTGCCAACTAATCAAGATCCAGTTTGCAGTACCTAATATTCACAGGTCTAGGGTACTGATACTCGGATTACTTTATTTTGTACTTCATCAGCATGTATTTTCCACCGTCTGTAGTTCTACTTACAAAGAAAGGTTTATCTCAGTTCTAGCCTTAGACAGTTCAAGAGTTAAATTAGGGGACACCGGGGCGGGGCAGGGTACCGGGGCAGAACGGTTTGCATACCATATTTCTCACTGTAAAGGCTAGATGTTACTAGCGCTCTCTGTTATCGTTTAGTAGAACGCCACGCATCGGTCGGCAACAATGAACAGATTACAGCAAACAGTTCAAAGTGTTTCCGGCCAAACGTAATGAATTTGTGCATGTGGATATAACTTTTCAGGATTTTTAATACAATGTAAGTTATTTAATTATTTGTTTTGGCGTTTTTTGTTCATTTAACTGTACACGGCATGTGTACAAGTATCTTTTGGCATATTCACGACAAAATATTAATAAAGCGTTTCTATGCAAAGGTTATGTTTTGTTATGAGTAGCTTGAGGGGCAGAACGGTGTGGGGCAGAACGGGTTGGGATCCCATTCTGCCCCTTATTATCAACGATCTCATTTTGATTCCTTGTGTTGCTTTCAGATGGTTCGCAATTATATTAGAAAGACGGATTGGCAACGGTGGAGTTCTGAAACTATGGAACGAGCTGTAGCTGCAGTAGTAAGTGGCGTAATGGGTTGCAAGAAAGCTTCAATTCAATTTCAGCTTCCACAAACTACATTGGAAAGATACGTGAAAAAGCGTAGGACTGACCCAAATTCTGTGATTGATAAAACCGCTGGCAAATATCACTGTGTTTTTACTCAAGACCAAGAGGTAGTACTAGTTGTATATTTAAAGGATATGCAAAAGAGATTGTTTGGTTTAACATTAAAGGAACTCAGAAAGCTAGCCTATCAATTAGCGGTTAGGAATGGTTGTGAGCATCCATTTAATAAAGATACAGAAATGGCGGGAGAAGACTGGGCCCACTCATTTATGAGGCGTCATTCAGAGTTAAGTTTGAGGAAGCCTGAGGCCACTTCTGGAGCACGTGCCATGGGATTTAACCGAGTAGCAGTCGCGCAGTTCTTTACATTATTAAATAAAGTTATTATTGAGAAAAAAATTACCTGTGAAAGAATTTATAATTGCGATGAGACTGGCATTACAGTGATTCCAAAGCAGCATTCAAGGGTTATTGCAAATAGAGGACAACGTCAGGTAGGTGTATTGACTTCTGCTGAGCGTGGCAATACAGTAACGGCAGAAATTTACGGGAAATTTCATGCCCCTCCCCCTGTTGATTTTCCCGCGACAAAAGAAGAGACAAGAATTTGAATTGGGCTTGCCACCTGGAGCTTGGATTGCGGCAAATGACTCTGGATGGATGACTATGGAAGTGTTTTTCGAATGGTTCAAGAAGTTTATTAAATTTTCTGGTGCAAAAAAAGAAACTCCCGTGCTCTTACTATGTGATGGACATGCATCTCATACGAAAAACATCGATGTAATAGATCTGGCTCGAGATAATGGCGTTATTTTATTATGTTTCCCACCGCACTGTTCGCACAGGCTCCAGCCTCTAGATGTGGCATTTATGAGACCTTTAAGTCTATACTACGAAGATGAAGTGCGAAGATGGTTGCAGTCAAACCCAAGTAAGGTTGTTACTTTATTTCAAATTTCAACCTTATTTGGACAAGCTTTTACTAACGCCGCTAATATGAAAACCGCGCTAAAAGGTTTTGAAAAAACTGGTATTTGGCCAACAAACGAGGGAATTTTCACTGACGATGACTTTTTACCAGCCGAGACAACTAATATTCCCATTGCTGAGACAGAAATTGCCCCTACTCAAGTAACTCAAGTCGATGATTTTCCAGAAAATAATTCCTTCAATGATCCCTCAACCCCACCTCTCAGAGAACTAAAGGAAACTAGCAACGAAACTCAAAATGGCTCTTTACCCTGGATGTCTGACACTCCTATTGCACCAATAAAAAAGTGATCACCTCTAGTTATCCAGCCGTTTCTGCGGAAGCTTTTATGCCAGTACCAAAACTAACGACAACCGTTAAGCGAGTGTAGAGAAAGAGAGGCAAAACCACTATTATTACAGAGTCACCGTATAAAGCAGAGTTGACTGAGGCATTAGAAAAATCAAAGAAAAACAAAGTGAAAAAAATCTTTCAGATCAGAAGCAGAAGAGGGAAACAGAAAAGATGTCTCGACCAAAAAAGCAAAAGATAATAGAAGCTAGAGTAAGCTCCGAGGAGGAAGAAGGAGGAGACACATTATGTTTATTCTGTAACGACCAATATTCAATATCAACTGAAGGTTGGATTTCTTGCATTCAGTGTAAAAAGTGGGCTCATTACTCTTGTGCGGGAATAGATAGTGACGACGACGAGTCAGAACTGATTTGTGACATTTGTAAACCCGAGTACCCCATCGTGCCCCGCCGACGGGGCAGAATGGAGTAAAATACACTTTTTGTTTAAGTTGATGACATAAAAAAACTGTTAGCCTTATTTTCATATTTGTTTGTGTTTGCATGTTTACGATACCTCAATAGATCATTATGTACCTTTTCAAATTTCTGTAACATCATTTACCCACCCAAACTTGAAATTGAATGTTACGGTCCCCATTCCGCCCCGGTCTCCCCTAATAAGATAAACATTTACATTAAAAACATACAAAATACCAGTCTGGAGTAACTGCATAAAATAAAGTTTTAATTGTACTATTAGAACGAATCTCAGGATACCTCAAACGTCAAAATACATCAAGCCGTTTAGGCTGTAGCGCTGAAAAAGAAATTTCAAAATTTTAGTTTTCTATTAAAGTTCGCCACTTTGTTTTTATAAAATTGTGCCACTGGTACTGCTAAGACGAGTCCGACAACATCTCATATGTCAACATTCATCAAGCCGTTTAGGCTGTAGCCCGTCAAATAGATTTTTTGTTCAAATACATAAAATATCCACGCGTGAAAAACACAAGCCTCTGTCTTAGGTAGTCAAGTAAAAACTGAAGAGTTTCAAATGTGTAGAATTGTAATTATCAACACAAATAATGCAAAAGGAAACCAAAGTCTATGTATACGAATAGAAATAAAAACACTCACATTTGTGTTGAAAAGTAAATAACCTTCATTTTTTATCATTGTGAATATAAGAGTAATTTTATCATAACGGTTTTTATATGGCTTTTTCACTGTGAGTTAATTAATTTCAATTCAGAAAATATATATTTGTATTTGCAAATTGATCTTTTATTGCTACTTTATATAAAAAAGTTAAATGATTTTTTTATGTCCTATAGCCAAGATCTTGAAAAATGCATATTTCACCCATATTAAAAGTAGTATACCGATTTGCTGAAATCTATTTCTTTACTGATAGGATCGTTTATGAATCTAGACATCTTGCTTGCTTTTTGTATAACATGACCGTTTTATTTTATCTAGGAGCAAGGGAAATAACAAACAGCGCTTCCGTGTATCCACGCTTCATTTGACTTTCAAAAATCATAGGTACTTGAAAAATGAATGCATTCAAAACTCACACAAAACGAAAAATAATCTTAAGGGGCATCTCGTCAGCTGCCAATGTGGATCTCTATGGACGCCGCCTGTTGTCTGGACGTGGTTAAGCTAGGGTGGGGAAAGTGGGCGGGCTTAATGGGGTATTTCTGGCATGCCAGAGTAGCAAGAAAATTGTTGTAGGATTGATTGAAGACGTTGATTTCACGAGCGGTACTTGATACTTTTATAATGACATCCGTCAATTGAGTTTCAGTTTTCTAGATAAGATCCTTCATCAATGAAGACATATTGCCCGCTCTTTTTTCTACTGGGATTGAGGGAAATGAAACACAGTGTCTCCGTGCAATCACACTTAATTTTTCTTCGAAAAATCACATATTTATAAAAAAATAAATACACACAATATAATTTACTATCTACACACACGAAACGGTATACAAAAAACGTATCTTGAACGACATGTCGTCAGCTGGCAGTCTGGCTGTCTGTGGACACCGCCCAGATGTTTATGGGCGTGGCTTGAGCGGGAGTGAGGGAAGATGGGCGGTTTTAATGGCAGAAGGGGTAGTTTGGGCACGCCTGTGCGCTGACTCCGGCAGGCATCACAGCTGGTTGCGCATGCGCAGCAGCTGGGGCGTAGTGAGAGGCAGCTGGGATAGCGTTGTAGGCGCCTGCTTGGTTGTAGGCGGCTGGTGAGTGTGCATACTGTTGCTGCTGGGCACCTGGAATAAAAATAAATAATAAATATATTATAATTAATTACCCACGTAGGCAGACATGGGGAATAAGGATATACACCTCATTCCATAGGGCACCCGTTTCTTAGGCAACAAGTGGCGTGAATGTTTGTGTTTTTTTATTGTCAAAATGTTCACGAAAATTTGCTAGATCTGAATTGTGGAGATGTGTCGCCCCTCCCCCTCAGGTGCTCAGACTCATAAAGACGAAACATGTACATTTTAAAAAATTACAGACAATCATAATGCAACAACTGAAAAGTATGGAAAATCAATTATGTTACCAAGACGAATCCATGGACAGGAATCTCAAAATTAAAGTTTGCGTTTAAATTCCGCCATTTTTATTTCATAAAGCTTTTCAGAATTTATTTTATTTCATTTTAAAAGTATACCTGATTTATTTATTTATTTGAAACTATTGCATATACGACGCGGGCTCATCATAAAATTGGGCATTTCATGAAATATACCATCTATCAGCCAGATCAACGATAATAAATTGTTTAACAACTAAACACGCGACTCTTTCATGAAATGGTCAAGCAGTTTGATGAAATCGTAACATGATTACTTTAATCACTGATGGAAACACTAGGAGCGCTTTGTTTACATTTACACACGGCCGTCGTTAATAACTAAGTTGTTTCTCTAAGTGAAAATTCTAATAATTCTTTACCAAATGAGGAGGAAAGTGGGATTAAAGGACTATGACAAAAAGGTACGCGAGTTCTCAAGTATGAGAAAGTCGGGTATGTTGTACCGGACTTTAAGTAGTACCACCTCAATATTTCCTTTCTAACGCCATCTATTTAGCTTATTTGATGTCGCCTGGCACCAAAAATCTATATATATATATGCTGATTTGTGAAAAACTTTTTTACGCAGTAAGTATTATACAATCTTAGATAAGCATTCATGTCAAAATAATCGCTTTCTGATAGTTGGGGTGGCATTTCTCGTGCTTATTGATTATTTTATGAGATCTCTAGCAAGTAAAATTTAACTTGATCACGCTTTTTAAATGAGTAAAATAATTTGTGTCATGCATACCAGTAGGGTAATTTGTACCGCCAGCTGGTTTGCTAAATCGTACCGGTACAATTTAACAAACTCGTGTATTGTTTTTCAGTCATGCTCCGCAAGGGTTCAAAATATGGAAAACGGTGCATGGACAACATGAAATCAGCAAAACGGAAAAATTTGGACTTAATATCTAAACAAATATTCTAAATTAGTCGTAACGATAATTTTCTGTTCTTTCAATGTGCTCAAAATCGGAATTCCCTATGTATATATGTATATTCCTTGGACCCAATAAATCAAACTTTCCATTTGTATGAATATTTTGAGTTATTTTGTTAGAGTAATATTTTATTTCACCTTTGTTCCTTATTTGTGATCTCTGTATTGTGATTTGGATAATTAAAACGCTTAAATTGTCACGATGCATCGATACACAAATATGTTCGACTAAAAATTAAAATCTTATGTGTTTTGGTATGGTACAACATCGCGGGATACAACTTATCGAACCGGTTGGGAAATTTGTATAGTTTGCAACATTTAAAAAGCTTGTTACTCTAAGCTCTGTATATCCATATCAGTCGTGAGTTGTGAATTTTGACAGAGACATTTCAGCTCATTTCACTTTGAAGTTTCGTTCAATTCAAACAAGTCATTACGGAGTTATTTCATAAAATGTGTCAGGTGGCGCAAGTTACTCGACCTTACCCTACTGTGCGGGTCACGCAGATACCGATTAAAACCTCAAAAAGGACTGGAGTTCGGAACGTGTTTGACAAGTTAATCCGACATACATTACATTACATTTTCATTTATTTTTTTAAAGTCAAAACATTATCCTACGTATGTTACACTCATCGTAATTTTTTAGGTTATACGACGAATAAATAATAGTAGTGTGATCACGCGAGGTAACTAAATTTGTGATATCTGATATGTTAAAAATGTGAAGTCGCCCAAGTTGAGAGAGCGATGTTGGAGAGAGTCTACGCGAACTTCCAAGAACGCCTCCAGCACTGCATCAACGATTTCGGCCACCACATGCCTGATGTGATTTTCCACACTTGACTGTCTCACATGCTATTTCCTTGTGAACCTGATTCCACCAATAAATTTGTTTTCGAGTAAAAATTAACTATTTTATGATTTTTTTAAAACCGTCCATCCTCTCTGCCGCACCCTGTAGAAGGCCATTTCATGAAATGGTCAAATGTACGATATGAACACGAGATATAGGTGTATAAATAATAAATATCTATAATTATTCAAAAACCACTTTCACAGGTGTTACATATATGCAAGATACTTAATTGAACTATTATTTGCTATTCACATTGGCTACATGAATATCAAGACTTATACAATTATAATTCTATACGCGTATACAATGGTGAATTTTACGTGATGCGCCCATCACTGCCCACGTACTCACCAGCATATTCTGGGGCAAGTGCTTCGGCCAAACCTTCGCCATGGTAGTCTCCATCACCAATGTATTCTCCTCTGTCCAAGGCATTCTGGATTTCTGGAGGGTACTGCTGTTGAGCAGCTGGTTGTGGAGCATACTGCTGAGGTTGAGGTTGGTACGCTTGGTACTGAGGTTGTGCTTGGTACTGCTGGGGTTGGTATTGGGGCTGAGCCTGGTACTGTTGTGGCTGGAACTGAGGTTGGGCTTGGTATCTGGGCTCGTACTAGAAATCAAGCAGATGACTTGTTAAAATGAGGTGGATAACTGATTTTAATACTCGATGGGACATAAGAAAATGGATATCACCTGAAATGGTAGGTAGTACGAACCGAGATCTTTTTGTATATAAATAAATCTAAATCAATATCTTACCAATATACAGGAATAAAGTATTCGAACAAGTAAGCATTCTCAATCCAAAAAGCTGAAAAAATGAGTCCAGACCTCGTTTTTCCATCTATTCGGGTAGTTTTAGATTACCACTAGGTAACTTTATTTTTGTACCTAAGTTCCATCAAAAGATACGTGACATTGAAGATTTGATAGATCAGATTGTATATGTGAAAATGAATTAACATTTTTTTTTCATTTTCGGTTATGCAAAGGACTTGGACGCTACTGCCATTCCACTCTTCCATTTCCTCATTCTCTATACAGGGTGAGATCAGATTCTGCATTTTACTTTCCATTTCGACTGACGAGGAAGAATGGTAATCACGGAAAATTTAGAGAATAAAATATTCTGTCTTTTGGATGTTATACGAAGTGTACATCACGAAAAACCATGACACTCATTTCCGTCGGTTTGTCTGTCTATCGGACTGTCTGTCTATTTTCTAATACTTGGCCCTTCTATATCTTGGAAAGTACCGCTCGGATTTTGATGAAATTTTCGCATGTGAGAACTACCGAACTTAATACGAAAAAGCTTTGTAGTTTTTGAAAACTGGTCCAGTTGTGGCGGCGTGAAAGATGAAAAACGAAAAGACAAACATCATTGAAACTTCTCTTTTAATGTTCTAGAAGCTCAGGATCATATTTTGAAAAAAAATTGTAAGAACTAAACATCGGGTTTCGGGAGTTATATTTCATTATGCACCTATTACATACTTTACACATCATACATTTCCCGATACATTTGTCCTTCAAACATGGGGAAATATATACAGACGCGACACGCGGTCGGTCAAGACAATCTCAACCTTCATGCGCCAAACTCTAATCAAATCCAAGCGAATAACCAAAATTTCCGTATTATGTACGGCGGTTATAATATGGTTCAAGATGACACACAGGATGATGACGTCAGTTACTCGAATCGCTTGAACGCGTTGGTTTTAACCGCGGATAATTGCAAGTTGTTTATTTTAGAAAAGCGCGTATATAATTTCTGATTATTTTTATTATCACTTAATAATCGGTGCTTTTTCGGCTACAACGGGGTATGGAAAGTTGAAAATAAGAAACCTTTCATAATATTAATGGGAGGAATGTTTTTTTTTTCAGAAATTTTTTTTTACTGATGGAACCATGGCTTTGTAGCTATGATAACTTTCAACTCTCTAAACTTTTCCCCGTGTCAAAGAAAATATTTATTGATTTAGCAGAAATGATGAAAAAGCGATGAAAAAAGATATTAACAAAACTGTATACAGGTGGACATCATACAGTGAGTTTATATGGCCATATTTTAATATTCTTGTGGTATATGGCTATACAGGATACTTTGTTAAGCATAGGAACTAGATTTAAAGTGTCCCCAACAACAGTAATGATTATAATTAATAAGATGCTCTCTTATGATAAAACTGAAGTCAGTCTGTATCAAGTTTCCCAAAAATGAAGCTGAAGTACAATAAAAATATCCAATACTCGGCAAAATTCTAACTTGTTACATGTCAAATAATAACCATAAATATAAAACTACTCCTGAGTTTGGTAAATACCACAATTTTGCGGTGATAACTATGACATATAACAGCTGATTCATGACGTCACGGATCTTATAACCAAACTGATAACCACACTCGCTTGAACGGATCGGTAAATACCAATCCAAAATGGTAAATACCATTTTGCATTTGGTTATCCGCTTGAATTTGATTTCTGTGTACATCTGACTTCACCGCTGGCGTTCCTTATCTCGAGTTGTAGTATAATAGATGGCATTTATGGCACGGTTGACTTGTGTGGTTCAGCATATCTTTTATTTAACTACCGATTGACTTACCGCTTGTGGTTGGTATTGTCTCTGGAACTGGGTAGCAGGCACTTGATTCACAGCCACAGCAGGGTTTTCACAGTTGGGGAAGTTAGGGCATGCCTTGGGGTCAACTCCCGCAGGGAAGAGGTGGGCGGGTTGACCTCCTGCAAGAGGTCCATTGTACGCCGCTGATGCTAGCGCTACAGAGCAAGCTACTACAACCTGAAAAGAAAAAAAAACGATTTCATTGGATGGCCGAGCTCTACCAAAATGTCATTAATTTCGGCAGGTTGGAGTCCAGATCACCGAGAACTTGATCTGGACTCTAACTAGGCCATGCTATTTGTTTAGCGTTGATAGGTTCTTTTCTCCATAGTTCTACAACTTTAGGCAGTCTAATGCCTTTCAATTTTCTCATCACTCTAAAGTGATTCGAGAAAAATTTTGGGATGCAAGAGCTTTGAAAATTAAAAATCTGCGCTAGTGTCCATAGTCAAAAAATGGTTTATTTATCTAATTCGTTTCGCTATTTTGGTGGAAGTATCAACTTTTTACAGAAGGATGTCATTAAACTTGAAGCAGTACTGAGTAAATCCTTGGTTGTTACTGTATATCACTTTAGTTCAAATTTATAACAAATAGCAAAAGTTTTCTATTCGGCTAACCCTATATGTCTACGAGTACCTACATTAAAGAAATATTTCACCTTCAGGATTTCTGCAAGCACTAGGCCGATCGAACAATTCTATTTTAATCGATGAATCACGAGTTCTTTCACAGTGAACGGGCTGGAACAGTTTCTTTGTATATAAAACCTACGACTATCTCTGCTTATAAACGGATATGAGGCAAAGAAATGCAATTTATAATGCATTTAGTTTACGCTCAATAAAAATTATCCAGTCATTGTGGCGGTTAATTCAGCGTAAACAAATTGAAGGTATATCGAATTTTTGCATACACCTTAGTCGATTGGTTTTCATAAATTGTTTTATAAATGACATTAAGGGGGTGATTTAGAGTCATTTTCTGATGACTCCTGAAAAATTTTGGTCTACTCGAAATTACTAGGTACTTCAATTAATTCTGAAGAACATCTAAAATACTAAATTTATTTATCCAATCAATGGATGGAACCATTGTGTTCTCAATGGGCGGCGTCAGTTATCGTGACATTTGGATGATGCTATCGTGTTAATGAAATATCTGAAACTTGTCCTGTGGTTTTCATCTGGATAATTAATTCTACCTGTTTCTCTGGTCATTAAATAAAACCACATATGTTGTTTTTACTGACGTTCCTGCCACCTATGTAGCCATTTAATAGCCAGAAAAACATGGAAAACTCTACATCATACGTTCCAGTATTGTACGTAAAGCGTGAGACAAGTAAAGATGGAATGCAAGATCAATCAACACTTGGAGAGATTAATTGTGTTAATCCATGCTCAAGCAATCCTACCAGTTTTAATAAAGAAAGTAACGGGCTCACTGCTGCGGCTTTATAAGAACATTATTAGGTCTTTAGAGAGGCTATACACTGGACATTGCTGATGAGCCATAGCAGACTGTGAATAATGGGGGAATGAAACGGTTAAGCACGTTTTGTACAGATGCTCCGCAATTTTCAAAAACAGGTACAATAAATACACATAGAGGAATCTTGCTCTAAGCGGAAGACGTGAAAGATATTTCTCTCAAAAGCTAAACGACTTCCTTAGAAGATCAGAAGAACTGGGCCATATTTGAACAATAAGTCGCAATGGAGGATGGCGATTAACTCACTCATAAATAAACCCAAACTATAGTCGAAAGATGCATGTCCACGACAGAGCCATGCATATTGTGGAGAATATACACTAGACTCTTAATCCTGTTTAGACAAAAAAGGCTAAGTTCATTCCAAGACGCTTTACTTGGACATTGAAGGCCAACTTCCCTGAAACAACTTGTATTGTTTTGTTAACATGCCAAAACGGATCAACCTTAATTGAGGGTTTATAATTTATACGACACGCAATTGATTAAATTTTGCTGCTCAGCTAAGGTGCGGCTAAGTGCACTGAAAGCAAGAACAAGAATCATAGGCGTAATAATGGTCAACAATATGGTCACGTTCAATTCGGTACATAAAACCAATTACTTAAAACCGTATAGGTCATGAATCTGAAACTCCCAGAGAAGTCATCAGGTAACACAGCAAGAGCAAGCCAACACCTGCAGCATTTGCTTGTTTTGGTTAGATGATGTCTGTCAAATGTCATAAATTCTCGCCTGCGGAAACTAATTCATTACTCAGGAGTGACTTTTTTACATTTCGAAAACGAGATATTTTTTTCGGTGTTATATGACATGTTACCCATTTCCGTCGGTATGTCTGTCTGCCTGTTCGCGTATCATTAACTTGGAAAGTACCGGTCGTAATTTGATGCAATTTCTACATAAGGTTACTTCTCTGCCAAAGACAAAAAGGTTTGAAGATTGAAAATCAATCCAGTCTCGACAGAGCTAGGGGCAAAAAAGTGAAAAAACAAAATCGCTCAGACCTTTCTTTGACGTTTTAGACCTTTTAGAGGATACTGATCATTCTTGAAAAAAATTTAAGGAGTGAAAAATGCGGGGTGTGGGTTGTAGACAGGAGAGGGAGGCTATATCGCAATTTTCTGACAGTGGTATCTATACTTATATGCCGCAGGCCGTGGCAATTCTACTCTCCTTTTAGACATATTTAACTCATCATAGATTTCCCCGTACATTTATCCTTAAAACTTGGTGGAGAAATATTTCCGTCCTTCTCGAGTTGATCATACGATTCGCGCAAAATCCTAAGGAGCCGCAAAAGTGTACAAAAAACATGGAAAATATGCAAATTTTCATTGTATGGGTCTGTTTGACTAACTTGATACGTTTCAGAGGAGGCAACTTGTGCCGAAGATGATCCTTTATGAACTGATGACAGCGTTGCATAGGAATCTCTGAGACAAAACCTACTTGACGCCAATCTTTTTATACAGAAGCGACCGCGTAGGCAGGAGCCTAAACAACGGGGCGTCGCGGCTGCTATAAGAGCTTGAAGACATTTGTGATATAAATATATCTTTTGCTGAGATACGGCTAGTTGAGTTGGATAATTTAGATGATTGTCAACTTACTCGTATTATGCTTGGACGCTATTATGGAAATTGTATAGCGTCATTGTAGAACTTTCTAAATCAGCGTAGCATAATTACTAGGTATAAACCATGTTTTGCGAGATTATCTCATTTTGGAATGCAGCAAAATGAACTTCCAATGGATTAACATTTTCGAAAATACGAAACCTTGTTTTTCAATTTCTTACACAGGCTAGGATGATATCAAGACTTAATTTTTCTGTCAACCACATTCTTGAATTCTTTCAGTAGAGGATTTCATTCAATAGTACTTGAACAGTTCTTGCAGCTCTGAAATTTTAACAATTAACAGTTCTTAATATCCCACGACTTTATGGTGTTCAGAATTTGTGTTTATGGATCAAGCTATTACATTTCCTAAAGCAGGTACATGTAGAGGAGGCGTTCAAATCCTGGAGGCCCTGCACACATACATTGATGATAATTATCTACATTATACTCGTATTAGCATTATATGTTAATAGCTTAATCATCTTAATCATGGGATATTACTTTCACAATACAAATATCATTGTTAATTTTATAAGTTACCTTATCCGTTAGATTTTGTTTATTTCACAAGCTAGTGGTACAATTTCAGTTGAATAAGAATCGTTATATAAATTAAAACGTTAAAATTGAAACCGCGACCGAAATCTTTTCACATACATAACGACTTCCTATCTACACCTATATGTAATTTAACTCTTAATTCTGTTTTTATATCGGAACCTACACGGCATAATTTGAACTAATGTATAAATACAACCTACAGAGGTGTCCTAGACTATACAATTACTAGTTATTGAACACAGGCTTACAAAATGTCAAAGGCGTTATTTATGATCTACCTATGGCGAAATTGCAACAGTGGGAAAATATCAGGAGAAAACATACCTACATCGTACTTTGATACTGACCGTAATGACCGACTAACACATCTTATTCTAGCTGAAGATTAACACTATATTTGCGTGTCCGAAATATTATCCAGGATGAAATGAGATATCGTAACGTCATTAATGAGAATTTGTTACAGATATCCTTCTTCTCTGCGCAAATAGGAATCTACTTTGGAAACCTTAGTGTCTTATAGACGACTCTGTAGCCAACTACACTGGATATTTCAAATTCAAGACTACCTCATGCTAAGGAGTTGCTAAATAGTACGAGACAGCTGTTCATGGTTGGCTCTCTGCGGTTGGAACAAGAGCCATATTACTAGTTTTTTTTTCAAATTCGATTCTCATCGTTGAAGTCTCGTAAACGGTAAGAGATATTAAGTCACTTAAATTAGGGCAAAATTGAGCATATAAGGACAAGAAAATGGAACAATTTCAAGTATTTCAGGTGATAAACGAAAGAAACCGTATTTTCCCAAAATCGTTTATATTTTTCCTGCCTTTATTTGAGATGTGATTTTAAAATAACAAGTGCATTAACATTGCCGCTCTTTCTCGTGTACAATGTAGCCTAATTAAAATTTCAATACGACATTTCGTCTCATCATCAACTATACTTCTTTTATAGATGCAAGATTATATTTTTGCACAGTTAAATATATTTTTTAAATTTGATTTAAAACATGTATAATATGTCATACATTAACATTGCCAAACCTTAGTTATTAAAAAGAAACAGAATTTCCTAGGTAGACCTTGAATCATTTGATAAAGTATCTACGTTGATATTTTTCTATAATAAAGTATCTTTTAAAACATATACGAAATTCTAATAAAAAGTCAAGAAGATTGAGTTATACGTGAGTTAATGAAGCGATTAAAATATGGGTATTTGAAACTCTAATATTCAAAAAAAAATATTTATGCACTTGTGTTGATAGCAACTGGATATGAATGGGTTTTTTAATATTCGATATTAGAACATTCAAAAATGTTATGATGTCGTGAAGTGATCAGGAAACTGAAAATCATTAGAAACGAGTATACTCGCCGGGAGCGAAGTGCATAGCGGTAGATACTTTATCGATCGCCATGCACGTGGTCAACAAATAGCACTCGAATTGTTCCTAACGGCAAATTGATCAAGCATAAAGATTTATGTTCGACATCCGCTGTCATCGCGCAACCAGCATATAGAAAGATTTTAAAATGGACCACTCCAAACACTACTGCCTAGAAACCATCGAGTCCTCCAAGCATAAGAGGCATAAAAATATATCAAAAATTGGCTAATAGAGAAGATTGGTAGAATTGACATACTTAGCATGGTTTTGATTACAATTTTGGGGTTTTTTAGGATTTGCCCCCCCCCCTCCCTGTGAATTTGCTTCCCCTTGCTCTTCAAAAAGTTTTTTTGGAATACTTTCATAAACAGTTATCTCCCGCCGATAATTGGCCTCCTCATGAGAAAAATTCATGCAGGTGCTCATGTCACCCTAAAAACATGCTTTTGCACTCGTGAAAGCGCATGAAAAATAAGCTATTACTTTGAAAAGTCAAAGAGTATTATTGTTGAGAAAACACTCGATCAAATTAGCTCTCAAGCAACATGAAACTAAATACCTTTGATAGCGTCAATATATACACCGTATATGCTGTTAAACTGAATACCCTGCTTTCACAAGGGGGATATGAAATGGAATAAATTAGCTCGAATACAAAAAATACAATAAAAAGGATCACACTTTGTAAAACCATGGCATAGAAATAAAATGGAACCATAATAACACTATATTTAACAAAAAAAAGTCGATTTTTCATCACGTTTTGTCACCCGGAAGACAGATAAACAAAAAGATGTTGTCATTAATAAATTGTCATTGTTCTTGAAAAAGGCCCCCGTGGGCGCCGAAACGTTGTACAATAAATAGAAACCAAAGTATATATGTGGTTGGATTTGGCCAGACAATGGAGTCCAATAGCAATGTACTAGAACTGACACTATAAAAAAATCACATTCTGCAAAACCTATTATAAAACAAGTAAAGTATCCTCTGGAACCTGATTCACCAAAAGCGCACGAAACAACAACTTCCGCGTACATCCTTATGTCACCGAATCACTTTCAGCTGTCACAAGGTTTTCCCGAAGCAACGGCTGCCTGGACTATTCCGGGTCGCGTATCGGCATCGAAAATCGAATTGTATTGCTTTTCGTGAACTTACCAGTTTTACGAACATGTCGATTGTGTGTGTGCGTTCAAGTTCACAAATGCAACGACCGTCCAAAAATCGTGAGCTTTTATATGCGCACCGCACCCCGGGCACCGCCGGGTTCGCCGTGAACCCAACGGATGACGCGATGGCGGGCGGATTTGCGATTTGCTGACACTGGAGATTCGAACGATAGATCACGACGCGATCTCATTGGACTCAGGTTTGTGCCAAAAATTTTAAGAAAATATTATGTTTGCTTATATCATCAGAACATAGAAGAATGGGATGGGAAATAAGTTTTGAGAAAGAATGTAACAGACGTAGTCAATAAAATGAAGAAAATTTGTTTAAACCTTAATGGTCAATTGTATATCACTTGATAATGAATAAATGTGCTATTTTTCTGCAAATTTTTGCTCTTTGCCTTTACAAATCCAGCAGACATGATTGTTTTTTTATTCACGAAAACGAGAAAACGATAAATGTTTATGTTGATTAGGAGTTTTTCCAGATCTATAAGGAAGACAACGTTAGTCCACGAGTGCCATACGGGCGACGTTCCTTTGCTTCCATTTTGTATGACGTCACATCAAGGCCGATAGCATTTTCACCGTTTCAGATTAAAAATGAAATATATATTTTTTTTAATTTAATTTCGCGCTTATAAAATTGAAATCAATACATTTCGTTTTCCTAAGCCAAATACTGTAAGAAATACTCATTTATTCTAAGAAATTAGATATAAGTCAAGTAGCCCATTGTATACAGGGTGTTTCAGAATATATCCGACAAATTTTAACCACATATGCACTGTTACGAAAGAAGTTCATTTCTCAAAAAAAATGTAATAGAGGTCATACAGAAATAAAGCTATAAACCTGAGTTTCAATAATAAATTTAAAAATAAATATCTGTATTTTGCGTTCATCGTCGTGATATTAGAACACGCATTAATAATTTATTGTAGCAAATGTTGTACCAAACAACTGACGTAAACAAAATACCAGGAATTTTTCGTTTTTTCATACCGATAAGAACGTGTAAATAAGGTTTAATCTGTATGTGTGATCTGAATGAAAAATGGTCGATTTTTCTGAAGTATTTTTTAGTCATTTATTAATATAAATGGCACATGTGTACACTAATGAGGAGTTAGTGGACATTGTTTTACGAGTAGCGTACGGAGAAGCAGGGCAAGCACCGATTTCAGAATAGGCACATACCACATCACGAAACATTTAGTTCAATTGTTTTACGTGCTCGTGCTAGTGGAGATTTGCGCCCCAGACATGGAGTGAATGGGGGTCGGGTTCGCCCACAACGCGTTTCAAATGCCGAAGACGAAATTGTGGATATTGTGGAAGAAAACACGGGAATAATCACAAGGCAGTTGGCCCAACAGGTTCCAGAAGTGTCACATGCAACAGCGTGGCGCATACTAGACGTCCAGAGAGTCCAGGCATTCCTACCTACATACTACCCCCTAAAACTAAGATTTCGTGAGTGGTTGTTGCAAGAAAATGCTGATATTTTAGCCACCTATAAAGCTATTTTTACTCGTAATGGGATAACCAGTCTTCGTAATACTTACGTTTGGTCCTTTGAGAATCCTCACGCAGTGGTCCAGACACACTTCCAACATCGTTTTTCTTTAAACGCGTTGACAGATATTGTCAATGAACGTCTAATTAGACCGTTCATATTGAAAGATCGGATGGATGGTCACCAGTTTTTGGAATTTCTTCGGAATGATTTGCCGGTCCTTCTTGAAGATGTGCCATTGGCGGTCCGTGCACGGATGTGGTTTCCGCACGATGGGGCACCTCCGCATTTTCGTTTAGAAGTTCGTGATCTTTTGAATCAGGTATACCAGATACGCTGGATTGGAACGGGTGGACCGATTGCATGGCCTCCACGGTCTCCCGATTTAAATCCTCTGGACTTGTTTTTATGGAGATATTTGAAAAACGAGGTATACGTACTCCAATTCAGAATGTTGAAGAATTGCGTGACCGAATCACAGTGGCTGCCGATAATTTGAGCCTTCAGGCACAGCAGGAAGGAGGTGTATTTGAATTAGTACGCCGAAATTGGATAGACGCGCCCAAGCTTGCATTGCAGTCAATGGAAACAATTTCGAACAGCTTTTATAAGTGAGTGAACTGTTAGACTTTATTATTTTATTATCTCGATTTCTGTATGACTGTCATTACATTTTTTTTTTAGAAATCAACTTCTTTCGTAACAGTGCATATGAGGTTAAAATATGTCGGATAAGTTATGAAACACTCTGTGTTTTTTGCTAATATGAAAACAAATCTAGGAAATCCGTAGCGGACGACTTCCCGCAGGGGTATCACGTAACTTGAAAAGTGACATTATGCCGATTCTTTTCGACATTATGCTGGTCTTGATCTATGAGACGATATCATAACCACTTTATTTATTTACAAAATGGATTTCTAAACGTATGCATTTGTTCTGCTACTATCTCATAGATGGCGATAGTACCTTCGAGATCCTGTTTTGGACGCCGGAATACAGAATATGGTTAGTTATCTTCAGGCAGAATATCTACGTTAATCAATTACATTTTCTACGAATATTTGTGGCAACGCTCGTCGTGGATGTTTAACCTTTTACCATCGTAGCTTTCATGAAAAAGGTGAGCTGTTTTTTTAGTACTTCTAATTTTGATGCGCTTCTATATAGCAAAATGATCCATAATTAAATTCTCGAATCTTTTGATATTGGTTAATTCATGTTTTTATATTACGAGCATTTCATTTTTTACCCATGTTCCTGAGCTAATCACGTTTATTGTATGCATTACACATAAAACGACTACATACTATAGAATTTCTACAGACTCAGGAATTCTTTCATTTAGACCGTTTTTATGTCTAATTCGAATATCCCGTTGACAATATCAGTTCCAATGATAATAACTCTGCGTTATTTCTAGATTGCAGTATTAAGTATTTTCTTGCATCAGAATCAGAACATTTAAATTCCTATTGTTTTCAATTAATTTGCTGTTAGGGATTTCTCCATGAAAATTTGTTTATTTTTCATTCATATTTTTATTTTATTTTACATATTCAAATTTTCAAAGAGAGTATTTTTCAGTTGCAATTTTGGGTCACCTGCCCTCATGATACCATGCCACACAATTTGGACTTTTCCAGTGTATTTTGACTGCCAAACTTTCTAAGCAGATTTTCAAAAACATTTACTTACAATATGACTTCTTCAAAAATAACCAAATATAAATATTCCACCGTGTTGCCTAAGCTAGTACTTTTAAATTTCGCTATTTACAATCACAAAAAAGATTTTTTGCGTGGTTCTTGATTCCAATTTGCCTGCAAAACTTTTTTTCTGAAATCGATACAGTATGTCTTCTAACGCAACGTTACGAAAAGCAATGATTGAATCAACTACCAGTTAGATAACCTGAAACCAATGAATTATAATCACGTTGTCGACACTTCGTAACTTTCTGTCGTATTTGAATATCTAGTGCTTCCGAAATATTTAAATATCCTGATCATTTGTCAGTTTGCAGTATAGCGGTCCACTTTCTTATCTATAGTTTCTAGGCTCTTTTGACACCTAGTTCCATAATTCTAGATTTCTGTCTGAGCACCGGTTCCTCATTCCCTAGTATGAGCAATCCGTAGGACCTTTGTTCTTAGTAATAATCATGTAGGTTTTTTATACGGAAGCAGCCGTGAAAGCAGAAGCCTAAATAGCAGAGCACCACGGCTGCTATGGGCAGCTCAAAAGGACCGATTTTTGAACCGCCCAAGTTTAGCAAAAATGGGAAAATCCTTCAGGTAGATTGTTCCACAATCTAGATACCCTAGCAACAAAGGAGCGGTCATATGGACCAGTTCTGGATGAATGAAGTTCGACACGTATAAGATGAGAGGCTGAAGTCATGCGCGTCTGTCTGGCAGGTACATTGCGCGGCTGCATCACAAAGCAGATCCTGACCGTTAACATAACGGTAGTAGAGAGCTATACTCTATTCGTAGTATATTTACGCCTCGACACAACAAAGATGCAGCGCGGCAATGCAGCAGCCGCCTAAGTGTTGCAATAGCTATTTTTCATTTGGCTATAAAACTCGAATAAGTGCAGGATTCGACAGAATGGAACTCATAGCGTGTGTTTATACGTTAGTATGTCATCTACGGATACAGAAGATGACACTGAGTATATTTTCCCCAATGCTTCTCTCATATATGCTTCCTCTTCAGTGATGTTTCCTCCCAGAAAACGTGTCAAGAAGGGACATTTGAATATTCAGGCAAAAGGACTTGTCCTTAACGTTTATAAGAGCGAAATTTTAGAGCATCCTGAAATGAAAATTCATGATATTGAAAGACGAGTGGCGAACAAAACAGACTTATGTTTTGAGTCAATCCTCAACATTGTTAAAGAATATAAAAATAAAAAAACGTAACAACCACACAAGAAGCTGCATTCCACGAAGCTGTTGGATACAGTTGATAACTTTGATTGGAATGCCATCAGACACAAAGTCCCTCAATTTTTTGAAAGGCAGGAACTTCCCACCATAGACAAAGTATTACAGGAGGTTAATATAGATGAAGACTTACCTACTTTCAAACGGACCACATTCTAAAGTTTACTCAAAGAACTTCATTTTGAGTATAGAAAATGGGTCAGAAATAGTATTTTGATGGACAGCCAAAAGATTATTTTATGGAGAAGAAATTATTTAAAATCAATAAAAAAATACCGCGACCAGGGCAGGAAGATGTACAGGGTGGGGCAAAAGTCGCGAAGGGATTTGAAAAATTAATAACTTTTTTAAATTTTAATTTTAATTTTTTTCCCTAACACAAAACTAAAATGCAATGTTTGGAGTTTGTTTACAATTTAAGTGTGAAAGATTACATCACGCAAATGACCGCCATTTTCAGCCTCGCAAAGTGCAGCTCTTGCAAGAGCATTTTCCATTACCCGAGTCAGAATATCTGGCCCCAAAGCACTTACTTCTGCTCGAATATTATCTTTTAGTTGCTGCAGGGTTGTGGGTTTATTAATATACACTTTTCCTTTCAGATATCCCCAAAGGAAATAATCAGGGGCTGTTAAGTCCGGCGAGCGGGCGGGCCAATTGAATCCTGAATTTCTCGAAATTAAACGTTCGCCAAAAATCTGCCTTAGAAGGTGCATA